AGAGAGAGAGAGAGAGAGAGAGAGAGAGAGAGAGAGAGAGAGAGAGCGAAAGAGATATTATTAAAATATATCTACAACTAGGATTTTATATTGTTAGTAACGTACTAGGTTCAAATTCAAGTGTTATGTCCAACGGTTGTCCACGTTTCATTTGACAAAATTCAGTGCCATTACAGGATTTTATATCAAATTTGAATGTTTTACCAGCCACAATATCTTCTGCAACATTTTAATTATAAACATAATTATTTTAAATACTTTTATTTTATATAGTTATTTAAAACACAAAAATACATACTGCATTCTCTAAATGGTAGATTATTTGCGTAGACAGTTGTGGCCAACAATATTGTCAAACATGCAATTAATTTCATCATGTTGTTAGTTATTTAAAATATTAATTATTTGCAAAATAAACTTTATTTCAAAATCTATATAGAATTATATTTTAACAAAAAATTAAGCCTTATTTATACCAAATATTTTTAAAACGCAATCCTAATTAATAAGCTGCTAATCTTATTTATCTGGTACAAATCATAACATTAATTGGTGACTAATGGTTGATGATTAACTAATTGTGACTAATAAAAAACAATAATTCAGTTATTAAAAACTTTATGTACAGTATTTCAACAATCTAACTTTAAGTACAGTAAATTATTTTTATTGTATTAAATACATATTGAGCACTATTATTAGAGATTATTTGATTAAATATAATCAATTTAACTTAATTTTTAATGAACAGCTGTTGTAAATATATTAGACAGATCATTATTGCTTAATTTAATACAATAAATAGTAATTAAAAATAGTATAAAATTGCTTAAAACTTAGTCCTTAACGTGTTAATTGCTGCTAACATATAATTTATTAAACGTCTATAATCCAATTAGTTATTTATCTATTTATAAAAATTTATTGTTAAAAATAATATTTTATTATTAAAGATTTTTTTAGTTGATTAAAACTTACTAGCCTAAATTAACATAACACTTTCGAACAAGTGTCATAGACCCGTGTCACAAATTAAGCATTTATTTAATATTTATAAAAATTATAAATTTGATTAATTTAAGAATTTGATAAAATATATAATTGTTACATACAATTGTTAATTTTGTTTAAATCTTATGTTTATTCATGCTCTATACTTGAAAATTTGTTAAACAATATGATGAATTTTTAGGATATAACAGGTGTAATTTATTCGTTGAATTAGGTAGACTAGTCTCCAGAGGAATTAATTCATCTGGCTAAACAAACAAAACATGCCTTGTTAAATATTTAATTAATCATATAAGTAAGCACCCATTTATTTTTATAATAAATTGCATTATGGTATTTTTATTTAAAAATTAATTTTATTTGGTAAATAAAACTGTCATTTTGAATAATAATTAAAATATTGTTATAATAAATACAATATTCCTTATAATAAGTTTAATTTGAATTAATTAAGCTCTCCACTTAATTAATTAATTAATTAAATCAAGATCAACCCTGGTGCAAAAAACAGGCTCTTCATGAGGGTTGTCAACAATAACTGTCAATAGTTGTATGCGCTTAGCGTTGGGCAATGAATCCTTGGGTAAAGTGCTTTTTAACGTAAGAGTATTTTTATTATCTTTACGTATTGGACAGTTTGTGTGGTGACACGTGTTGTTGTCAAAATTGGGCAGATCTGTATCTAATCGGACTCTTTGTTCCTCACCATGGTAAAAGTAAACAGCGCCCAGGGTTAATGTGGAATTGTTATCATCTTGATCTATTTAGAGAGAGAGAGAGAGAGAGAGAGAGAGCAAATTAAATTGTATATTATTATTATTGTATATATTATTTAATATTTAATAACTTACTAGGTTCGAACTCAATTGTAATGTCCAGAGGTTGGCCACGTTTAATTTGACAAAATTCGGTACCATTGCAGGATTTGATGTCAAATTTGAATGTTTTACCATAATCGCGGTTTTCTAAATCTAAATTATATTTATAATTACAATAACTAATTTTATTTCATACAGGTTATAATTAATTTTAAAAAAATACCAACCGCAATCTCTGAATGGGAGATCGTGTGCTAAGACCATTGCGGCCAATAGTAGTGTCAAATATACGGCTAATTTCATCATTTTATTTTTAAAATAAAATTCTTATTGAAAATTAAAGATTTGAATTATATTTTATGACAATTAATCTGTATTTATACCAAAATTTTGTTAAATAAATCTTTCATATAATATGACTTTAATCTAGTGTACAAAGTATAAAAAGTTACAAGTTTTTACTTAAGTTCCAGTGACTAATGCAAAATAATAATAATTCCACTATCACAAATGGTCTATAATATAGACTCTATATTGATATAAGCTAGATTAAATGAATATCCACTTTACAAAGGTTGTTTTAGATCTCAAACGTGCATAATTATCGATTATAAGTAATTTGTGTAATAACAGCATGAACATTATCAATAATTTCAAGGCTCAAACAGAGGGGGTTTAAACAATTAAAGTTTAATGAAAATTAGATAGAAATAGACAACGCTAATTATCGTAATATGGTTAAAATATCAATAATGTATACCTGTGTAAAGTGTACGTGTGTTGATTATGTAACTTTACCTGTATGTCCGAATTTATTATAATAATTGTAGGTATTGCACACATTTAATGCCATTTCATTATAATACCATTTGTTCAATAAATTTACTACATGTACCTGATACTTATTTGTGTTTTTATAGATTTATATAAACTTATATATTGATTTATTAATCTATCAGTTGATTTTTTAATAAGTTGTAAAAACTATTTCTTAAGTTGTAAGAAATAGTAGTACTCATCATAAAAGCACTATACAATCATCATGTTTATAGATTAATTATTAGATAATTAATGGATAACTAATTGAATATAAGCTCATGTTTAATAAATTTATATCTATTATATTTAGTTGCAAGGTTCAATAATGAGAGTATTAACAGTATTTTGTGCGCTATTCATAGCCGTAAATGCGGTGCCATTTCTTAAACAATTAGATGAACCCTTTGAGGGCAAGACATGGGTCGTGTTGTGCGCCAGCGCTGATACATGGATCAATTATGGCATGCCGGTAAGTTTACTCAGTTAGTTACATAGATCTCTCTCTCTCTCTCTCTCTCTCTCTCTCTCTCTCTCTCTATTATATAACAAAATGTTTGTGTTTAGGCCGACATATACCACGCTTACCACGTGATCAAAGATCATGGTATACCCGATGAAAACATAATTGTCATGCATTACGACGACATCGCCCAACACCCCCAAAATCCCAGCCCCGGTATTGTTATTAACAGACCCGACGGACCCGATGTGTACTACGGAGTGCCCAAACATTACATCAGTAAAGATGTCACACCCAAGGTAATAAATAATACAATTAGTAGTCAATATAATTTGGCGTGTTAATTATTAAACAAAACATTAATTTAATTTATCTATATCAATGTAGAACTTTTTAGGCGTAATAAGCGGCGATCCGGAGCTTAAGAAGCAGGGTAAAAAGGTGGTGGAAAGCGGACCTAATGACCGCATTTTTGTCTATTTGGAAGACCATGGTGCTAAAGGTATGTTGCTCATATAATTATTAAAATAAATGTTATATTAATGAAAATTAGATAGATGAATTATAACAAAATTGAATATAGATTATTTAATTGAAATTATAAATTACTATTATATTATATATTATTTCTTTAGATACTTTTAAAACTAATTAATGTAAATAATTCACAATTAATTACAGAGGTGGTCTCATTCCCAACTGGTGGCATGCTACACGCCAAGGAACTCAACCAAGTGCTAACTAAAATGCACACCGACAAGAAATTCGCCAAGCTCGTTATTTATATAGACGCTTGCGAGTCAGGTATGTGTATTTGAGTTAAATGATATCACTTAGAACTTAGTAAAATATAATTTTATTTAAATTAACAATTATTCTAACTATTAAAATAGGCTCAATGTTTGATAAACTACTGCCTAATGATATTAATGTATACGCCGTGTCGGCTACAAAACCTGATGAGCTCGGTTGGAAAGCATACCATGAAAAAACCAAGTACTTTACTTATTTAGGTAAATAGTTTAAATATAATTAATTATTATATAATATAATTAATTATTATATAATAATAATTACTATTATTGCTGTTGAGAGAGAGAGAGAGAGAGAGAGAGATCTATGTAACTAACTGAGTAAACTTACCGGCATGCCATAATTGATCCATGTATCAGCGCTGGCGCACAACACGACCCATGTCTTGCCCTCAAAGGGTTCATTGTGGTAAGCGTGGTATATGTCGGCCTAAACACAAACATTTTGTTATATAATAGAGAGAGAGAGAGAGAGAGAGAGAGAGAGATTAGGTTAAAATAGTAAAATATATATTTTATAATTTATATTTATTACTAATAAAGCCGTATTTATGTCGGTCAATTGGTTGGAAAACAGCGAACAGGCTGATCTGACCAAGGAAAGTGTCGAGGCACAATACCAGTACCTTAAAGAGCACAATAACTTTACCATGGACGGTGAGCTGCACACGCAACACGCACAGGAGTATGGAGATTTGACCATCGCTAAGAACGAGCATGTGGGACAATATATGGGTATCGTAATCCTATTTGACATTTGATTAAACTGGTAATTTGTGGACAAAAATTTATTTATTTTACTCTAATTGGCATAGGTGATAAGAAAATAATCAACAGCGTTAATACTGTCCAACCCGAGCCGACCGGATTTTCACTATCACGTGACGCGGCTATAAATATTGTAAAACATAAGATTGAGGCCACAGATGATGCTGAAATGAAACAAGCGTAATTAAATTAAATATTTTATCTTTATCACTTTATATTAATTATTAATTGTAATTAAAATATTAGCTATATTGAGGAATTGATGGGATATTTATCGCGACGAGAAGTGTTGGACAAACAGATTGAGGAATACGTGAATACTTTGCCGGGAATTGAGGCCAATGTTGTACTCAATGAGAAACTAGAGCTCAACAATAGAGAGTGTTATATAAAACTGGTCGACACTTTCTATGATAAGTGCTATAATATCGGAGAGGTTTGTATTAAAAATTAATAGAAAAAATACCACTATGTTAAATTATAATTAATAAATAATAATTATTGATTTACAGAATACGTATGCATTGAATAAAATGCACGTTTTTGTCAATATATGCGAATCGAGTGCTGCGGATATCGCTGTCAACAGTTTGTCCCAATTTTGTGATCGACTCGTTAAGCCCAGTGAACGTATCGTGTAATTTGTTTGCCCAAATGTTCATCATGTTATCAATGATAACTTATCATAGATATTATATTCATATATTTGTTAATTTACAATAATTTATTTTAACAATAATAGTTATGAAAAGGAACTGATATAATGAATAAAATTATTTGCAAAATTAATCATAAAATTTTTAAAACTATTTTATGTATTAAAAGTCTGATTTTTAAATGTGACCAAAACTAAAATTAAATGGTTAATTAACCTCGACTTATCAGAGATAATGATATGATTGATTATTCTGTACTGATAATTAATACAGAATAAACATTACCTTGAAATAATAGTTACATAATCAGTTTATGTAAAAATAAATAACTATTAGTATAGGTTGCGATAATGACATAAATAAATACTAAATAAAAATAATTATTTATTATGATAAAACATAAATTATGTTACATAATGTACTAGTTTCCGATTATATAATGGTAAATGTTCACATTAAATATCAAATAATATTTTTAAAAATAATCAGTTATTATGTTAGTACTTATTTAACTTAAGAACAATACCCCCTACATGTGCATTTGATGTACTATTTATTTATAACAAGGTCCAATATTGCAATACTTTAGCGACATTTCAATAGAATTTTAAAAATAAAAAATAGCCAGATTACATGTCACAAGACACTTATAATGTCACGATCACATCATTCAAGTACTAAATTTCTTTGTCTGCTAAATGTATAAATATTTCAAAACACTTAAACAATTGTTATGTCAGTTTATTATATTACTATTTACACAGATTTAATAATACTTTTTTATAATTAATTTAAAAGTATAATAACTATAATGAAGTTATTATATGTATTGTTAGTATTGGTAATAGCCGTAAACGCTGTACCAATTGATGAACACTTAAATGACAATGAGTTTAAGGGCACAAAATGGGTTGTATTGGTTGCCGGCGCTCCGGGTTGGGGCGATTATGCCAGTCAGGTATGCATATTATAACCTAGTTAAACATTTATTATAAATAAAATACAATTAATTAATTTAATTATATAATAGTCAAGTGTATACCACGCCTACCAAGTTGTTCACGCGAACGGCATACCCGATGAAAACATCATAGTGTTTCACCCTGATGATATTGCCAACAACAGCCTTAACCCTACACCGGGTAAAATTATTGATCATCCCTGCGGCGATGATGTCTATCACGGAGTGCCTAAGGATTATACCGGCAATGATGTCAACCCTACTGTAACTTAATTTATAATACTAATCAATTATAGCATTATTTAATTAAAATTGTTTTTTAATCACAGACATTTATCAACGTTTTAAAAGGTAGCCAAGAGTTGGCAAGTAAAGGCAAAAAGGTGCTCAATAGTGGCCCCAATGATCACGTGTTTATATATTTTCTTGATCATGGTGCAGATGGTATGTGTTGGTCTCTCTCTCTCTCTCTCTCTCTCTCTATTATATAACAAAATGTTTGTGTTTAGTTATTAAATATTAAATAATATATACAATAATAATAATATACAATTTAATTTGCTCTCTCTCTCTCTCTCACACACACACTCACTTACTACCTAACTAATTAATAATTTTTTTAACAACTATGTAACTATATGAATATAGAGATAATCCTATTTCAACGCAAGTATTTACACGCAAAGGACTTAAATGATGCCTTAATAGAGATGCACCAAAACAAACGGTTCGGAAAACTAGTGTTTTATTTGGAGGCCTGCGAATCAGGTAATGTTAATTATAACACTAGTATAAAATAAATGTACCATAACTAATAACAATATTATGATGCAAATCATAGGCTCGATGTTTAACAAGCTATTACCAAAAGATATCAATGTATACGCCATTACTTCATCAACACCCACAAAAATGAGCGGCAAAATGTACCCGGATAAATACTATCACACTACCATAGGTAAATTATACGCACATTTCCCACAAGTCCATAGTATTTTAAATTCATCACGCATATTAAATACATAATACAGAATTCAATATTAATTTACAGTTTAATAATATTGTATCATGCTAATTATTAGGTAGCTTCTTTGCTCACTACTGGCTTTTGAACGACGAGCAAGCTGATTTAAACAAAGAGACCCTGCAGCAACAATTTGATTACATATATAAATGGACAAACACACCTGGTCAGGTGGATGCCGAAAATTTTACCCAACAGGCGCAGCAATATGGTGATGTTTCAATTGCAAAGTTACCTGTGTCAGATTTTATTGGTATAAATATTTACATAAATTTTTAATCATTTATTTTTAAACATGTTTAATTTTTTTAAAATAGGGGCGAGAAAAAGTGACAGTATTATACCATCAAGAGTTAATCTTGAAATGCGAGTTAATATGCACGTGGTATCTGACAGAGATGTGCCTGTTTATATGCTAGAAGCAAATATTGAAAACGCAAATAATGATGCTGATAGACAAAAGTACTTATATTTATTTATTAAATTAATTGCTATTATTTTAATGTTTTATAATTTTTGTTTCATAGATATACCGAAGAATTAAAAAGTTTGTTAAATGAGAGACAATACGTGGACAAACATATGACTGAATACGTGAATAGTATTCAACACTTACTGACAGTCGATAGCAATGCTATTCTAAACACTAAACAAGAGCTCAATAATAGGGAATGTTATCGAAAACTCGTTGTTAATTCTCACGATAACTGCTTTAATATGAATCAAGTATTAACACATAGATTATTTATTTATGCTTTTATCAATAATACTAAATAATTTATTTTTATATAATGCCAGAATCCATACGTTTTGGGAAAACTATATATATTTGTGAATATATGCGAAGAAATGCGTGAATCGAGTGATGCGGACATCAATGCTGTCAACCAATTGCTGATACAATACTGTCAACAAAGTGTTGAACACAAATACTCACAAATTATTGAATAAAATGTATTAGTAATACAATAATACAATATTTAAAAACAAATATCAAATTGAGAATAATTACAATAAATATAACCTGTATTTTAATAAAAATTGGTGCCCGGTCTCTATATTAATTAAAACGTTTTAGAATTTTTATGTATAATATAATAGTAAACGATATAATCTGCAAAATAATAAAAATTAAATTAAAATGCATTTAATTATAATATTATTTCTAACTTTATATCCTTGAAATCGATTAATTTTAAATAATTTCCAACAATAAAAGCCAACTCTATTTTGACCCAAACATTCAATAAATGACATTAACTAATAAATATAAAAATAATACATTATAATAAAAAATTAAAAGTATTTACTGTATATTAATCTACCTTCAATTTATGACAAATATTAATTTTCTTGGAGATATATAACATGTTAAATAATTTATATGATTTGACTGCTTGATTATGAATTTGTGCTGAATAGTGTATTATAAATGCTAATGTAATAAAAAATTGAATCAACGTAATTAACGCCATAATTTTAACCAGATAAATTGTTTTATTATGAGTAAACATTATTGACAATATTGACAATATCCACGAAAACATTATCCAATGAATGGCCAATATTTTTGACCACATATTATTATATTCACATATTTGCACATTTATTTCACTATAATTTACAACAAGTTTTGTGACATTTTTACATTTTTCATATGAATTTATTTTACTATTTATATTTTGTATTTTTAACGATAAATAATACGCTATAATTGAATAATAAATTAATTGCCATACAATCAACACAACTAATCCATAATAAATATACGCCCAGAAAATGCAATGTGGTATTAGTAAATATAGTGATGTTTGTTTAAGTCGAAAAATTAACATAAATCCTAACCATGGAAAATAAATTGACACTTTTGTTGATATTTCACCAATCGTATTAATAATCTTGCTAAATCTAACTAGATTAAGCACTAGTTTTATATCATTAATGCCAATACTCATAGGTGTTGCACAACCCGATAGCATGTTAAATACGAGCATATAAGTAACTTTTACACCACGTTTATAATATACAAAATGTATTATTTGCGATAATAACGGTATTAATGCAGTCATAGCTATTAGTAAATTAACATGGTGTCTCAAACCAAACATATAACCTACATCGCCTGTTATTAAGTAATACTTCTCATTTTGTTCTGGCATTAAAATTGATACCAAGTTTCTAATAATACATATTATATAAGCAATGAATAAATAAAATGGATGTTTGACTGTATTTCTATTTGCATTAAACGGCTTATCAAATGAGAGACCAATAGTATAGAAATGAGTGCCGGCTTTAGGTATAGATAGACTATTAGGTAATACTTTGCAAATATTAATCCCATTGTCTATATCTCTAACACGTTTATTGACAAACATAATTAAAATTTACATACAGTATATCACAATTAGTTTAATTATTAAAATAATATTTAATTACAACAATATTTTTATTATAAAATATAATATCTTAATAATATTTTTGTTAAATAAATGATCTGGTTAACAACATGTTAATTAACTTTTAGTAACTCTTTATTTAAATATTTCAAATAGTGTTAATAGCATAACAATATTTAATATCTGTAAATATAATGTATATCAATACAAAATTGACAGCAATTAAGTTTATTTTCTCAATATGATCAACAATAATATTGTGCTGTTATAAAACAGTATAATATAATACATATTATAAATATATAAATAATACAGAATAATAACAGAATGAATATAATAAATAAAATATGATAAAACAACAATAATAGACTTTTAGATTGAGTTTATGTTAAAACCTATATATAAGATCATTCATTATATTTCCGGACTTCAATACTAAAAATTCAAAATTATTTTTTAATTATGAAGCAAGCAATTATTTTAAATTATGTAATAGCTGATAGAATTGGCAAATATTGGGCATCAATTGTACAAAGTTTCATTTATTTCCCGATAGAAATGGCGGTTCTGTAAAGCAACAAAGTGAGTGAAGTCAATTTCAACCACTATATTTGTTTTGCAATTTCTATCACCAAAACATGACTGCAGAGAATGATTATAAAAGTTATGTGATAGTGGAATAATAGGAGAATATGGTGGGTGTGAGAGAACTTGTCGGCCAAAGCCTTAAAATTTTTTAATGTAATTTTCTGAAAAATGAGGTCTAAAAATAGGCTAAAATAAGGCATATTTTCAACATGTATGCAATTACACGCTCTGAAAAATGCCCACTTGGGTTTAAATGGCCACAAATTATTTTCCAATATAAGTATAAGTTGACCAACAATTCCATGTGGGAAAATCGCGGATCATACACAACCCGCACTTTTGGCACGCGATTGGCCACTTCCCGGTGTCGGGCCGTTCGGGTGCGATCTTTAAGATTATAAACACCTGATTTAAAACTTTTGAGCAATTCATATCATTGGTTGATATCCATTACAGTGATTTAGTTCTATATATTATAACTGTGAGTCTATTTATTAGTGCTTTTAACTTAAAACAAAAATAAGTAATATTTTTCAATGTTATCGATACCATAACTTTCGGGTGGAATTACTACTACTTGAAATAATTATAGAACTTTTTATACATGAAATTAAAGAGGAATAATGAGTGCATAAAATAGCGTTTAAATCAATATGATGGCATATACCAAAAAAATTTGGCAATCGTTTAAACATGACTATATTTAAAAATCCGGTTTATTTGTGAATACCCTTATATACATAGGGTTGCCAGAAGCTCCCGGTTGCCCGGGAGTCTCCCGGAATGAGGGTCCGACTCCCGTCTCCCGGCGGGGGTCTCACCTTGATATGGGAAGCTCCCGGAATGGCATGATGATGAACACATTGAT